GTTTGTTTACCTTATAGCTAAGCATTAATGAGGATTGCCTTATTCTGTAAAGTGCTAAGGAAATTAAAGGATTCCTATAGATTAGGATGGGAAGAATATAAAGGCAGAAGGACCTACAGATCTGCTATTGTAGGAATGCAAATACTTCATGCTGAAGGAGGAGGGAAGAGAAAGGAATGAAAGTGAATACTATTTCATAGGAAGGAAAGGAGGAGGTGACAGCTGGGCACAGCGACTGGAGGAAAGAGAAGGGAAGAACTGCAATTGTTAGTTATCATTTGTGGAACCCCCAGTGTACGCCAGGAGCTCTGCTAAGTGCTGTGCACACATTTTTCACATGTGCTCCATCAAAGCCAGGTAGTGTGGGTTTATTCTCCATTTACCTTGCATCTAGCAGGACAGAGGAGCTTTAATGGAAGTTGATGTCAGGGTGAGAGTAAAATTTCAAACAAATCAGTGGAGGACCAAGAGGTACAGAGATGGGTAGTTGGGAAAAAGATGTTCAACAAACCTAGGTTAATGCAATCAGGATGGAGCAATCAGAAATAATGTCCCTTTCCAACATGGGTTCCTTTCCTGAGATGCCATCAGTTTTGTTCACCTGTACTTATTTCCCTTCCTGGAGAGTCCATTTCTGTCCTCCCCCTCTCTCTTTTTCCTATGTCCTCTTTTCTGTCCCTCTTCCCCCTCTCTCCTCCCTCCCTTTCACCCCCACCCCCACCCCGGGTCCCCTTTCCATCTTATTTCATGTCAGTGTTTGGCTCTTTGTTGCTGACAAGATCGTCATGTTCAATTTAGACACTAAAAACAAATTGCATTTTCTGCCCGTCACCAACACCCTCCCTTCCCTTTTCTCTCTTCTCTTGATTCTTCTCCTTCCTTTTCTTTCCCCCATACTCCTGTTCACTTTCCCTCATTCCTCTCTTTTCCCTTAGGGTGGAACCCACAAAGGTGTCCCTGGCCCAGGAGATCTTCCTAGCATTTGTGGTTAATGTCTGATACCACTACCGAACCGCTGAAAGGATTTTTCCCTTCCTTTTCTTTTTTTCCTCTTCAAACCGGGATCATGAGCTCATGTGTCTGTTAGGAATCTGGCCGGGTTGGCAGCTGCAGATGCTAGACCAGGAGAGGCTGAAACCTGGGGCAAGACCTGCCCACTGAGGTAGGGCCAGGATCTGCAGAGAGAGGGTGTCCTGGCAACTCGCAGTGGGCCAGGGTGGGGGCTGTCAAAGGAAGCTGGCAAGAGACAGTTGCAGAGGGTGAGAAGGCAGTGATGTCAGGAATATGGAGCAGCTAGTAGCAAAGACTCAGCCATGGGGAGGAAACTAAAGTAACTGCACCCCAAGGACCAAGACTCCGAGGACCTGTGTCACCAGGAAGAAAGAAGGAGGTAGACACTCACTTTCTGGAGCTGGGAGAACCAGACAGAAAGTTAGGAGTCATGTGCTAGGACCTAGGAACAAAGGCAGAGAAAGAACAAGATCAACAAGAAGACCAACCTAAAGACTCAAGATGAAGCTTCCCTGCTGTTGATCTTGGGTTCCAGGGAGCCCCCTTATCATGGAGGACATTGTTGGCTGAGCATCTCATGCAGGGAGAGAGCTATGCAGCGATGGGTCCTCCAGGGTTTTGTCTTTCCCCATCTCTCTCCCTGTGTCCTACTCTTAGTCAGCCACTGGGATTGCAGAGCCACCCCTACAACTGTGTGGGGAAACCCCAAAGCACATCCACACAGAGTCAGGCAAGCACCCAGACTCCAAGCCATCTCTTGCCACAGATTAACACAATGAACAGACATTTGCCTGCATCCTCCTCCCCAGGTTTCCTCCAGCCCCGAAGAGCACTGACCTTTCTACCCAGCTGCTTCCAGGTTTCCATAATGTCCTTTTTCTAGCACCCCTTCCTGCCCACATGCTGCCTGCCAGTTTGCCTGTAGCTCCCAACTCAAGCTGTGCTGAGCTAACTCTCTGGCCATGTGGATGAGTCCTTCCTGTGTCTGCCATATCCCTCTCTGGAACCTGGAATGCACTGTCCGCTAGGGCTTGAAGCTTCTCTAAGAGAGCTTCTGTCCATCTTTACCCCTTTTGAGAATTCCCTTACAAGGCCATTCTATACATCTGCCACTTAGAGGCCAGCACTGTATGTGAGCATAGTCAGCTGTTTGATCCATGTGTACTCCTGGGGAAGAGCCTACACTATGACACAGCTTGGTTTAAGAAGGGGTCACTTCCTCCTACCTCTTAAACTTTTCTCATCTTTCAGTTATACTTTCTCATTTTAACTATTGCTGCTTCTCTATACTCTCATAAAACATTCATTTCTTTTGGGACAGTCAAGCCTAAAATACCATTCCACAATCTCTTATTTGCAAATCTTAACATTAAAAGATTTTGGGTCTTCATTGTTTTGTTTTGTTTTTCCGAGTTTGGTGCCAAAACTCATCTGATGACAAAACATTATCTAAATTGATATGAACTCACTTAACCCTCAAACCCACTTAGTTTAAAAATTCCTACATTTCACTGCAGGAATATGAATGTGTCTGATTTAGACTTGGTTGACTGCTCCAGACTTCAGAGGATGGTCCCAGACATGGGATGGTCCCACATCTGCTCCATTCTGAATTCTAAAATGTCCCTGGTTTCAAGGATTTCAGAATGAACATGGAAGACTTTAGAGGAATTAGGAATTATAGGATCAGAACTGCCCAGCCTATTGGGCTCCATCCTTAAGTTCAAGTGCTAAAACAAGACTGCATTTTCTGAACAACTTCCTGGATAGAATGTCTTCATTTCCTATTGCTCTGTCCTTCTCTAGCACCTCTGGCCTGTTGTACCCTTACCTGACTAGCTGCAGGAAAGTGCGAGAGCACTCATTCAAATCTGGATGGCGAATGCTGATAATTACTACACTGGTTACTAAATCTGTCAAGTTTAGGTGAGGTGAGCTCCACAGCTGGGGCTGCTGCTCACAGCTTTCCAGGCAGAGAGAGAGGTGAGAACAAAATCAAGAAAAATGTGTTCAGATGCTTGAGACTGAGTGAAACTGGTTAATTACCAGTCACTTGCTGTCTCCTCAAGTTGGAATTTCTGGCTAAGAAATGCTCAAGGATCAGATAGAATCTGACAACCTGCAACTTATTTCCACACTAAGAAAGCACCAGGAACCAAGACACAGAGGACCACTGTGGAGACAGTCTTGTGGATGCCAGGCCAGTGCCACATGATGCAGATGCCCTTGGAACAGGGAAGTGGCATAATCCAGGGTGCGAGCTAACTGTTTTCCTTATGGAGAGAGCTAGGGGGGAAAATGTGTCCTTGGAGGTAGAGTCTATTTGCTGCTAGGTGAAAGGTCTTAATCTGGAGCCTGAGATTCAATTCTAATGATCCATGACCACCACCACCCTCAACTGCATGCCCACATGTGTGTATGTGAGTGAGTAGTATTTTTCCTGAGAGATAGATCCACAATATTTATCAGTTTCCCAAAAGATACAGAAGGGTCTTTGATTCCCCTAAAAGGAAGGTGATTATAAACCAATGTCTTGACTCCTAGAGAAACAGGTTGACAATTGGGCACAACCACAATACTCATAGTCCCTAATGATGATACTATTATACTCAAGGAGTGTGTGTGTGTGTGTGTGTGTGTTTATATATTTTTAGATAAAGGATTCAGTAACTTGCCAGATTCTCAGAGATCCACAACCCTTATAGAGTTAAGAACATGAGCTTGGTGGCAGTTCAAAAAGCTAGGTTTGTCTATACTTAGCTACTACTTTTCAGAGGAAGATCACAGAGACCTGAAAACAGGGCTCAAAGTACAGTAATTCTGTTCACTATCTGGGGATAACAGGGTCCAGCGCTGGCGGGAAGGGCCCGCCATAAAAGATCACACTGCAGTAGTTTTAAGAGTCAAGTGTCCAGAAGCCAGACAAGTAGGTGATGATCACACAAGTCTCAGTAGATGGCAAAACAGTCCCAGCTCCTTCGCCCTCTGATGGCAGGATCCCAGGTCTTTCTTTTCCAAAGCCCTCTGTTCCCAGCTTTCTGAAACCCAAAGCCTTTACATATGGAAGCTCAAAAGGCATTCAATACTTACTGAGTGCCTACTGTGTGCAAGGTTCTATTTTATGTACAAAATAAGGGACTTGCTTTTAGAGTGTTATTGACCTGGGCCAGTTTCTGCCCCGACATGGGTATTTTGGGAGCTGCTGACCAAGCGCATTCTTTTCTGAGCTGAGTCCTCCCCACCCTGGTCCAGAGAGACAGAAGCCACCTCACCCACAACAGAGAGCTGGGGTCGAGGAGGGATTAGCAGCACCCAAGGGCAAAGCAGTAGGGGCCGATTGCTGGTGGGCCAGGCCCAGCCCTGGCACTACTGGAGCGGGACTGGGTGGGGTGGGGTCTCAGCAGGCGGAGCGGGGAAGCAGACGCTGCCCGCAGCCGTCTTGGCCTCTGCGACCGATCGCAGAGCCTTGCTCGTCCGCCTCCCGCCCGCTGGGGCCGTCGCGAAGCTCTGCTCCCCATACTGAGCAGTCCCCGGGAAGCGCTCAGGCGCTCGGACACGTCCCCAGGCTGGATAAAGATCGGCTTGGCGCTCGCTCCGCAGCGCGAAATCTCGCCATCAGCGCAGCTCCGCGGCAGCTCCGGCGCGCCCGGCGAGGCCAGATCGCTATCTTCTGGGGAGGAGGGCACCACTACTCCCGCCGCCACCCTCGGCCCTGCTCGCGGGGTGGCTGCGGGGTCCTGGGCTCCCCGCGCTCCTAACCCCTTTGGCATTCCTTCCTGGAGCTCCCTCCCGAGGGACCTCTGCTTCCCGCCGACCTGGGCCCCCCAGCGCCCCGCCAGGCTCCCTCTTTCCTCTCTCCAGGCCCGGCTGCCTCCTGAAGGTTACGCGACGCAGCGGCGGGGCGCAGGGGGGCGCCCGCCCTCGCCGCCGCCCACCCCCGCGCCAGCCGTGGCGCGCCGCGCTGGGCCAGCCGCGCTGCTGGCTGCTGCCACCGCAATCCCGGCTCCTAAATCAGCACGGGGAGGCGCCCCTTCCCCCATCCGGCTCCCCGGACTCCCCGGGCAGCGATTGGCCGCGCGGGCGCCCCCCAACCCTGGGCCCCCGGCTCCAGCCGCCACGCCATTGGCTGCGGGCCTCCGCCAGCCTTTACATAAGCCCGGGCGCGCTCGAGTGGAGTTGTATAAAGCGAGAGCGCGGAGTCGGGGCGGGAGGCTCGAGACCAGCCCGGGACCGGGACCGGGAGCTGCAGGCGGCGGCAGAGGCGGCAGTGAGCGCCCGCGCTCCAACGCCCCCAGGCGGCGGGGCTGAGAGAGCACGAGGATGGCTCCCAGCTCTAACCCGGGCGTGAGTAACCCGCTCCCGGAACCCCCATCTCCTTGGGCGGAGAAAGTTTCTCCAGCCTTACGGACCCCTCCCTATGCGCGCTAGGGGTTGGTGGGGATGCCGCCAGGAACCAGAGAAGACTGAGACCCCAGAGGCGGTGGCTTTGCTCCCAACTTGCCAAGAGGCACTAGACTCAACTGGCGCGCAGAGCCTCCCCTGCGGGCTGGGGGCGAGGCGGGCGCCGGGCTGGAGGTGGCTGAGAGGTGGGAACCGAGGTGTGGGGGCGACGGCCCGCCACTGGCAGAAAAGGTGTTGGGGGCGCACTGGAGGTCAGCTGTTTGGGAAGGGGATATGGGGGCTGGGAGGGGTGAAGCAGGTAAGAAAGGCAGTGCAGGGAGATTGGGGAGTCACCCAGCGGGGCAGGCTTAGCTTCGGGCCAAGGAGGATACTGGCCTCGGCCGAGTGTCTAGCGTCCAGGCTGGGGAAAGCCCCTGGAGAGCCGGCTTTTCCTCCCCGGGGAAACCGAGCCCTCTCCTGCACAGCTCTGGGTGTCGGAGAGCTCCGGGAGATAGCCCGCGCGCGGTGTAGCTGCCAGCCGCCTTTTGCTGGACCGAGGTGTGGTCTCGTTTTCAGACTGTCTCAGGCAAGCCCGCTTTAGGCATTCCAGGAGAACTGGGGCCCCCTCAGTCGGCTGGAAGCACACAGAGGTTTTGATGGGGCTGCAGGCCGGGCTTGGGGGCATGCCCAGCAATGCAGCGCGCTTCTTTGCAGTACAGTAGTTGGGAACCCCGGTTAGCCCCTCTTCTGCAGAAACCAACTCAAGAATCCAAAGTCATCCCAGCTGGGATGGGAGCCTCCCTTGGAGTGGGGGTAGGGGCTTCCTCCGTGGATTACTAGTGTATCTTGCTGCTGCTAGTGGTGGGTTCACCTAGTGTGGTTTCTGTGCATCCCCAGAGGTGCTTCAGTTTTCCAGCCAGGACACATTCTTGAGTTGTACTTGAGGTACCTTCTGGGATGGGTGACATGACTTCCCAAGTGAAGCCAGGTGAAAGAAGGTAGGGGGTCTGGGAGCAGGGGATAGATTTATGGTGCTGAGTCGGGTGAGAACGTGTGGGAAGAGAAAAGCTATGGATGGGAGATTTTGAACCTTATAACTTGGGGCATGAAATACACAAAACTAAATTAGAGCTAATTCTGAGAATCACCTTGTACCCCACCCACTCAGCCATGGGGAAGGAGAGGTGGAGGATGGAAAATTGAGAACATGGCTGTTGTTCCACTATGGTCTTTGAGGAAGCACTTTCTCTCTTTCTGACTTGGTTAAGCACATCTTTCTTGCAACAAGTCCTAAAGTCAATTTCAGGGCAATGAAGAGAGGTTAGGGGCTTGGTGCTGGTAGAAAGGGCCACAATTGAAACACCCAATTCCCAGGTGGTACTAACAGACTGAAGAAGGCCAAAGGTGTGTGGTGGTTACCTGCTCTTGAGCTGTTCAGCTGGGGCTGTGTTCTTCACCTTACTCCATTTCTGAACATAGGCATGTGTTCAAACTCCTAGGATAGTTGCCTCAGCCTGAAGATCTATATGCAAACGCCAGCTCTATCCTCTGCTTGCAGTCAACATTTTTCTGCTGCATTTCCCAAGACCTTCTCTGCACTGGGGATATGTGCAGTGAAATACCTGCTTGTTGCTCTTTCTTCTCTTTTTTTCCATCTGGGCTGCACCTGGTGTTCTGAACTCTGGTATTTATTTCTTGGCACCTTGATGTTTGGTTAAGGCATCTTATGGCAACACAGTGGTGCCCCCTGAGAATGTGTGGACTTGTGTAATTCTAGGGGTGAAGCATAGATTCTTACAGAGATTGGACTACCGACTAGGAGTAGTTGTCTGTTAAACAGCTGCAACAGCCTGTGTTGGTTCTCAAGCTTCCTTGCTGCTGGCCAAGTTAGTGGAAGCTTAAAGGTAGAGCAAGCTCCTTGGTGTCCAGTAGGGGGTGCCAAAAGTACCTAGCTCGGGACCACTGACTTTCTTCTTGCCCTTCATTGGCCATAGTAACTTAATGTTTAAGCAAGCCCAGGCTACAGTCCCAACTTTCACCGTTGTGATGGGAGCCTTTCTATCATATACTTTCTGGACCTCAGATGGTCCTGTGGCCTCAGGTGCAATGGGCCAGGTGTATGCACTGATTTCCAGAGAGCCACAGGTGCTATATACTGGTAGACCCACCCACTCCCTGAGATCATTCCTTTGTGCTTGGTACTGGTGTATTCTTTGAACTCATTAAGGGTTCAGAGTACCCAAGAACATCAGAAGTAGAGAAAGGAGCCTTAGGAAGCATTTACTCCAACTTCAACCTATCTTCAACATTCACATGTACACTTAAATTACAGATGACAAAACTAAGCCTGATAGTATCTTTCCCAAGGTCACATAGTTGTTTGGTGGAAGAGATAGAACTAGATCTTAGGATTCCTAGTTGTCTATCCAGAGCTCTTTCCACTCTAATGAGAAGATGGATACATGTTCTCTAAGTGGTAGGCACTGGTAGTTACTGACTGACCAGACTTTGGTAAATTAATAACTTTAGTAAATTTGGAGAAATTTCCTTTAAATTTATATTCAGATAAAGATACAGATAGAGATAGAGATAAAGCTCTTGTAATATACATACACAGATCATTGAAATTCCTAATTATTCTTTCCCCTTTCTTCACTATCTTGTTTCAGTAGTCTTCTCAGCAAAAGCCAAGCAACTCCAAAGTTAGTTTATGCACTTAGGAATCAGAAGTGCCCAAGCCCTTGCCCTGGTCTTGGAACCCAAGCCTGGAGTTCTTCCTTCTGCCAAGATGTGCTGAAATGGAGTCTCTGTGGCCTATGGTCATTCCCTTGCTGGTGGGACTTCTCAAACTCAGATCATGGATGAATTGGAGTGTTTCCAAAATGTACTTGCCAATTTCCACCATCCTTGTTGCTCCCAGATCAAGGTCAGAGTGCAAGGATGCTCTATTTTTGCAAAATCCTCATGTCCCAGCTTCTTGGATGACCTGGAAGATACCGTGATTTCCATTGCCCTTGCTTCTGTTCTGTGAGTCTGTTGACATATGTGAAAGGTTCTTGGGAACCAGTTTTGCTATGTGACCCATGAACTGCCCCCTCTCTTTTTCTCTCTCTACCTAGTGTGTTTGCATGCTGGGATTCCTCTCAAGCCTTAGCAGACTTGACGGGCTACCCTTAGAATTCTAAGAAGTGGAATTCTCATCAGTCCCTATGGCTCACCCAAGGGATGTTTGTTGCCAGGGAAGATGCTCAAAGTTGCTCATTTCACTCAGACTCATAGACAAGGTGGACCTTTATCTGTGAGGGAAGATGGAAATGAGGATACATGGCCCACCAGAGAGCAACAGCCCCTTTCTTTAAGTGGGGTTCCAAGAGCTGTGGCTTAAGATCTTTGCCAGCTCCCAGCTTTAGCAGGAGAAGATAGTCCTATCTTCTCGAGGCTTGGTCTGATCCTGGATAAATCCAGAGGATATAACTACATAGAATGTGAGTAGAGTGCAAGCTCTCTGTGTGGGTTGTTTTTTTGTTTTTGTTTTTGTTTTTTAATTTAACGGGGAAGGGAGTGGACTAGAGTTTGAGAAGTGACACTAGACAGAGAAAACAAGATGTTGTCCCTACCATGTGCCCACTTGTGGCTGCCCCTGGCCTATTTTCATTGGAATGGTAAGGACATTGGTTTTGAATCTGTCTCTCCAATTAGTGGCTTAGAGACCTTGGACAAGCCACTTGATCCCTGTGTGCCTTGGTTTCTTCTTCAGTTAAATGGTGAAGCTGGCAACCCTGTGATAAAGGGTAAGGTAGCAGAGATCAGAGGTGACAGTCTTTAGTGTACCTTGCCCTTGGCAAGATGTAAAGAGGTATTCAGTTGGAAAGGGGTAACCACACAGGTCACTGGTAACCACACAGGTGAGCAAGGCTGAGTGTCCAGGCTTGCACATCAGCCTCTGTTCACAACAATATCTGAGCTGATGGACGAGGCCTTCTTGCCAGGGCTTCTTTCTTGCTTTCTTCCCTCTCCATCTTAGGGTTTTCACTTTGAGGGTCTACTATGCTCGGGGAAAAGAAATTTTACAGGTCCCAGGATAATTCTGAATGTGATGGAGGGCCCTGAGCTATTGATTCCTAAGGAAGGATCTTTCTGCTGGGAGAAGCCTTCCTCAGAGCCCAGTGATTTAAGAGCGCTGACAAATCCCTGCTCGCTGAGCCTTCTGCAGGCTGCAGATACAGGCTTCTGGGCCAGCTTGGACTCCGCGAGACATTTCTGGAGAGCCTAACTGGTTGCTTAGGGCACATAAACCTGTGAACTCTCCTTAGGAGAAAGTATGAAATCAATTGGTTCATTATTACACCAAACACACTATGGACCGCTTAGGGTGTTTAAGAACCAAGAAGTAGCAAAGGACTGAGAGATTGTGTTCAATAAGTATGCAGCAAGGTTTGAAGGGGTTGGATAAGAGGAGGGGACAAGAAGACCTTTTTCCCACTGAACTGCTCATGATCTTGACCTTATTGAAGTCCTTGGACAGTGACTAAAGAGGTTTTTTGGCAATGTCTGGAGACGTTTTTGTTACAACTGGATTAAGAGATGCTACCAGCATTTAGTGGGTAGACACCAAGGATGCTACTAAACATCCTACAACACACTGGGAAGCCCCCTCAACAAACAGTTATCTGGCCCCAAATGTCAGTACTGCCAAGATGGAGAACCCCTTACTGGGGCACTGCAGTGTGGAATCACAGCATGTTAGAGGTGGGAGAGATTTTGATCCAGTTCTCCCATTTCACAGCTGAGGACACTCAGAGCCAGGGAGGAGAGGGAACAAGCCAGGGTTACAACAGATAAATGGCAGAGCTAACCTGGAACTCAGATCTGGTGTCTTGAGACGGACTTACCCTTCCCCAACACACACACACACACACACACACACACACACACACACACACAAAGTTGTTGTGAAGATTAAA